CTGGTGCTGCTGTCCCATGGAGGTGCTGCTGCCCGTGCCGCGGGTGTCGTCACGGCTGCGGGCGCGCCATTGTGTCCGAGGGGGTCCTGTGGTGTCCCCTTGGTATTGCTGGTGTCGGTGCTGGTACTGCTGCTGGTGCCACTGTTTGTTGTGGTAGCTGCCGACTGGAGTCTGTGCCATCTTGGGCGCCATGGTGGTGGCGGGTGGTCGGGGTGGTTGTTGGGCGCTGTGGTGGACTTGGAGTAGTCGTGCTCGGTCCAGTTGTAGTAGTACTCGTGCGTCGGCGCCTTCCTGTCGTAGTCGTCGATATCAGGCAGGACTGCGATGGCGTGTAGAGCAGGTCGTGGTAGACGAAGTCGGCGAGGAAGAAGTAGCCCAGGAAGCCGATGCCGCAGTCCTGAAGGACGCAATGAATGTCGCGGGCCTGAAGGATACAATGAATGTGGGGAGCAGGTTACGGTATGGGGAGTGGGGGGCCTCCAGGCCCCAACGCCTCTCTTCCTCCTCCTCCTCCTGCCCTTCCGCATGCGAATCCAGCCGTGTGGGCTTCCGGCCTCCTGGCAGTTGTCGGTCGGCCTGGTCCCTCGGTGCCGCCGCTGCCGCCGCTGCCGCCGCCGCGGCTGCTGCCGGCGCCGTGGCCGTCACCGTCTCTCCATGGGGTGCTGCTGCCCCTGGCTGCCGCTGGCGAGGGGGTGGGGCGAGGCGGAGAGGGATCCGCCGGGGAGGGAGGAGGACAGCGAGGAGAGGACGGAGGTCGAGGACGAGCAAACCACACGGGCAGAAGCTTCCCGAGATCCGCGCGGGGGGTTCTCGGATCGGTGCTCGGCCCCCCTCATCATTGGCGCGCGAAGCGCGCGCCGGGGTCGGCGCGCCGCGAGGGCGGTTCCCAGAAGAATCCGCTCGGATTTCCGAACGTTCATGCTTTCTGGTTCCCTCTACGAGCAGGGCGGGAGGAAGGGGACAGCCATTCGTTTTTTTTTTTTTTTTTTTTTTTTTTTTTTTTTTTTTTTTTTTTTTTTTTTTTTTTTTTTTTTTTTTTTTTTTATTATTATTATTTTGGCGCAGGCAGCCAGAGGCTGCAACGAGAGGACGGGGAGAGGCTGCGGCGGTGCTCGGTGAGGGCAAGATGGTCAGGAGCGTCAGCCTCGAGATGAAGAGAACCGATCACGAGGAAGAGCAGGAGGAGCAGCAGCTCGTTTCCGAGGGCGAGGGCGGGGAAGAAAGGGGAGCAGCACGAGGGAGACGACGAGGACACATATACTCAACGAGACCCTTGATACTCGAAGCTCAAGCGTCGATCGATCGATCCTCGATCGCTCGACGACGACGAGCGCACGGATCTTCGAACGATGTGCCGAACGGCTCGACCCAGGACTCCCCGTCCCGCGACCGTCGCCGCCGCTCCCAGGGGAGCCCGCGCCGAGCCGTGGTCACCGCAGCCGTCGCAGCCGCCGCAGCCGCCGCGGTCGCTGCCGCCACCGCCGCGGCCGCCGCCGTCGTCGTCGTCCTCGTTGTCGTCGTCGGCGCCGGCGTCGGCGTCGTCGTCGTCGTTGTCGTCGTCGGTGTCCTCGACGTCGGGGATCGGAAGTCTTCACACCTGCTTTACATCCGAGGAACCCAGACTTCCCAAGTTTTTTTTGGAAATCTCGCTCGAGGTCTTTTGCTGCAATTTTCGGGCGGCCGTATCTCGGCCCACGGACTGTTCGTCAAGAAGCGCCCTGGACGAGAACCAGGCCCCAGGGAAGTGGTCTGAGGGTCAGGAGGCTGGTTACTTGAGAGGATCGATTGGTCGGTCTGGGTGTTTAACCCCAGCGAACATCGGAAAACCTTGGCAGCACATCTCCTCGCACCATGGTCACGGGCAGGGGGGTCCCATGATGATGACGATGATACTGATAATGATAATGGTGATGGTGATGCTGAAGCTGCTGCTGCTGCTGATGATGAACGATGTTGATGATGTTGATGATGCTGATGATGATGGTGATGCTGATGACGAGGATGACGACGTTGAGGATGATGACGACGATACTGATGCTGATGCTGATGCTGCGGCTGGTGGTGATGATGATGACGACGATGATGTTGATGATGCTGATGATGATGGTGATGATGATGACGAGGATGACGATGTTGATGATGATGACGACGGTACTGTTGCTGATGCTGATGCTGATACTGATGCTGCGGCTGGTGATGATGCTGATGACAACGATGATGATGATGCTGATGATGCTGCTGCTGATGATGATGCTCATGCTGATGATGATGACGATGACGACGACAACGACGATGATGATGATGATGATGATGATGATGATGATGATGATGATGATGATGATGATGATGATGATGCCGCTGCTGCTGATGATGCGGCTGCTGCTGCTGCTGCTGCTGCTGCTGCTGATGATGATGATGATGATGATGATGATAGTGATGACGATGCCGATGACGACGACGCCGACGACGACGATGACGAGCAGATCATGCCACAGCGATGTCCTACCAGGACAGCCTCGCCCAGAGACTCAGAAGCCTGCAGCATGGGCCGAGCGGACGAGGCCGACACGTCCGCTGGCATGCCGAAAGGCCGATCACCTCGGGCCTGCCCCTCGCCAGCTCCTCCTCATCCATTGGCCTGCACCCCGCATGCGTGTGCTGTACAGTCAACCCGATTTGTAAGGATGGGCAACCTCCCCAAGGGTACCCTTGCGTCCTTGCCTCCTCGGTCCATGCTTGGCCACTTTCGTTGGCCGCGCTCCGCTCGAGACGCTTCGACATGGGCGTCCAAGGCGCTTGCGTCCTTATCGCGCATCCTTATGATATGGGCCGGCAGTACGTCCCTGGCAGAGTTTCCGAGGGTGCGCCGTTGGATCCCCCAAAGGGGGGTTGGTGGGAACCCCTTCCCCCCCCCCTTTTCCCGATCCATCGTCGGGGACCCCCTCCCTCCCCTTTTCCGATCCGTCGTCGGGGAACCCCCCCCCCTCCCCCCCCTTTCCCGATCCGTCGTCTGAAACCCCCCTCCCCTTCCCCCATTTCAACAGGGGGGGGAGTCCGACCCCCCCCCCCTCTCCCCCCCCTTTGGCCGCCACAATCAAAGCCCCCCCCCCTTTCGCCACGGCGCCTCCGAGCTTCGGAAACCAACCGTACCACCCCTAACACTAATCTTCACCCTAACCCTAACCCCTAGCCCTAGCCCCAAACCTTAATCCTAGCCCCAAACAGTACTCAGTACTCATTACGCACTACTCACTACCCACTACCCATTAGTCGCTATTCACTACTCACAACTCACTACTCACGACTCACTACTCCATACCCACTACTCAGTAACCACTACCCGCTAGCCCCTACTCCCTACTCACTACTCGCTGCTCACTACAATCTACTCACTATTCACTACCCACTATTCAAAACTCACTCCTCACTAAACACAACTCACTACCCACTACTCACTATTCACAAATCATGACTCAATACCCGCTAACCACTATACTCACTACTCACTACTCACTACTCACTGCCCACAACTCACTACTCACTATCCACTACCTGCTATTCGCTACTCCCTACCCCCTTTTACACAGTACTCACTTCTCACTATTCACTACTCGCTATTCCCTACACCCTATCCGCTACCCAACACGCACAATTCAGTACCCAGTTCTCACTATTCACTGCGCTCCCCTACTCACTACTCCTACTCACTACTCCCAACTCATTACTCACTACTCACTGCCCACTACCCTGTACGCAATATTCATTACATGTCAAACACTACTCATTGCCCACGACTCAGTACTCACTAAGCACCTATTCGTTACCCACGGATCACTATCCACTACTCACTATTGAGAACGCACAGTTCACTACTCACAACTCACTGCCCACAACTCACTACTCACTATCCGCTGCTCGCTACCCGCTACTCCCTACTCCCTACACAGTACTCGCTGCGCACTACTCACTACTCACTACTCGCTACTCCCTACTCGCTACTCGCTACCCAATACGCAAGATGCAGTACACACTACGCACTACTCACTACTCCCTATTCACTACCCCCTACTCCCTACTCCCTATTCAGTAGTCACTAGTCACAAGTCGCTACTCACTACTCGCTCTTCAGTACTCACTACTCATTACTCACGACTTACTGCCCACTACTCACTACTCACTATTACTATTTGCTATTCTCTACGCACTACCCAGTACCCACTACTCAATGCCCACTTCTCCCTTCTCAGTACTCACCACTCACTGCTCCCTACTCAGCACTCACTACTCACTACTCACTAATCACTACTCGCTGCCCCCTACTCGCTAGTCACTGCTGACTACTCCCTCTTCGCTACCCACAACTCACAATCCCCTTTTCGCGTCTCGCTATTCACTACTCGCTGCTCCCTATTCGCTACTCACTAGTCACTACCCACTCCCCACAACCCACTATTCACTACTCACTATTCACTATCCACTACTCACTGCGCACTACTCACTCCTCACTCCTCACTACTCGCTACTATCTACTCACTATTCACTACTCACTATTCACTACTCACTTTTCACTATTCACTTCTCATTATCCCGAGGCCAGGCCCCCCCCTTGCGGGAGAGGTCCTCTCCCCGGCCCCCTGTTCGGCGCAAAGGGGGCACGAGGGGGGGGGGGGGTCGAACCCCCTCCCTTTCCAGCGCCAAGGGGGGGGGGGGGGGGTTCTGACCCCCCCCTCTGACCCCCCCCCATTCAAGGGGGGGGGGAGGGGGAACGGGGGGGGTTCGGACCCCCCCTCTCCCTTAATGGGGGGAGGGTGGGGGGAGGGTTCGAAAATCTCACCCCCTCTTTGAAGGGGGGGAGGGGTGGGGGGGGGGTTTGCGAGCACCCCCCTTCTTTTGCGTATTCAGGGTGATCCACTGGCGCGCTTTCCTCCATTATGGTGCTCCGTCGCGGACGCCAGAGTCCTGAAGCCCCCTCATCCGCAATCGCTTCGGCTCTGGCGGACAGGCCGCGGCCCGCGGGCGCGCGCGCGCTGGTGCGCGCTTGCGCGCCCGCGTCGGCTTGCAGGCCTCGGGCTGGGCCCGCGAGGGGGCCTCGCACCCCGAAGAGGAAAGCGGCCCGTGAGCGTAACACTTCTCGGAGGGCGCGACATGAGAGCCTGGCGCTGCAGTTTTTTTCACAGCGGGCGTTTCCGCCCGGGGCCCCGGGGACCAACACAGGTCGGTCTGGCCCGGAACATGGCGCAGACAGGATACTGCAATGTTGGAGTGTCTCATCGCTCTTTTTTTGTTTGTTATTGTTTCTGTATTGTTATGGTTTTCTTATTTGGTTTGTTCTTTGTAGTTGTTTTCAACGCCTTTTATGTTTCCCCTGCTTTGTTTTTTGTTGCCAAGGGCTAGTAGTGGTTGTCGTGCACAAGCGTGAAATGTTCCAGATCCATACGTCGAGTGGGCTTCGGTCGTGATTCTCTGCGATGGCGCACCTTTCTCCGCAGCGTCCGATCTCCAGAAGGGGGGAGGAGGACGCGCCGCCTCGTGGGGGGCCGGCGCCGACCCAGGAAGTGCGTGCGGACCGCGGCCAGCCTTCCGCAAACTCCGAGAGGCAGTTTCCTCCTCCTCCTCCTCCTCCTCCTCCTCCTTCGCCTTCCTCCTCCTTCGCCCTCCTCCTCCTCGTCCTCCTCCTTCGCCTCCTCTGCCTCCTCCGCCTCCTCCTCCTCCTCCTCCTCCTCCTCCACCTCGCCCTCCTCCCCCTCGCGCGAGCGCGCCCTTCTCGGATTGTGAAGGCGGGGTGCAGGCGCCACCAGCCTGCGCCTCGCAGGCCGAGCTCCGCGCGCTGTCTCTCGCCGTCGTCCTCTCTGTCTCCCTCCTCCCCGTCCTCGTCGTCGTCCTCTCGGTCCTCCGCCCGCCTTCCCGCTCTCTCAGATCCGGACGATGCAATTTTCTTCACGCTGGGCGTTTTCGCCTGGTGTCGGGCTTCGGTGCCATCACAGGTCGATCTGGCTGGAAAATTGCAGCCGGAAGATGACCAGATCATCCGTATTACCACGTATGTCGAGCGTGGTTATTACACAGTCGTGCCCCGTATCTCCCAAACCCCATCCTCCCAATCCGAGTGTTTTTCTGGCAAACAGTGCTCGCACTTACCAGGAAGCTGGGTATACATGACGTGGCTGGCCTGTGCGAGAGTTCGATGCACACGTGGCCACATATCTTTGTAGCGCTCGTCCCTCGTTTGGCCAAAAGCGGTGGTCCTTTCCGGCGAGGATTTTTTCACGTTGCCGCCCGTGGCCACGTCGTGGCCGCCTCTAGGTTGCATCATGTTTATTCTTTGTAAATGAGAGTAGAGTCTACCACTTTCTTCTCCCGAGACTTATCGCCCCCCCTTGGGACACTGCCTCGTCGGTCGTTTCCCACATGAATTCATGTTCTCCCAGGCACGCCAGGTCTCGCCCCCCTCATCACTGTCAATTAATGCTATGGGCGCGCACTTGTTTATCACTAAAATGGATATTCGAATCATCTCTTGCAAACAAAAGCACAACGTCCACACGCGCGCGCACATGTCCAAATCACACCAAACACATTATTTTGGCAAGGAGTTCAATACAAGAGCGAAATTACCCGTATGTTTTCCGCCGCAGATCTTGCACACTCTCTGCCCGCGCGCATTTGCCGAATCACAAGAAAGCAAGATGATTTTAGCGATCTGATCCTGAACACGCAATCTCATCTCAACGCGCGCCGCATCCGCGTTGATCCAGCATGCGCTCAGTGCGCAAATCCGTACCAAATAATACCACTCGGGTCACACTCGCGCGCGCCACCACGCGAAGGTGTCGAGCTCTCTTCACAACCAGAGGCTGTCGAACCATTTCCAAATTCAGCTTTTCAATACCCTATGACAAGAACACATGTTTTTCAACAAGCAGTTTGCCGGGGTTCCCGCGCGCGCTTCCTCGCCGTCATCCTCACCAGCGCCGCCGCATCACAAATCGACATCGACAATCGCAGCAGTTGCCGCCTTCACCACTCAAGCAGCTTCATCATCGACACATGGACATCATCATCGTCATCGGCGCTACCAGCATCGGCGCTGTCAACGGCATTACCATTGCCATCGTCATTTCCGCCACCACCATCGCTACTATCATCATCGTTACCGCCGTTGTCGACGTCATCATGGTAATGCGCCCGCCCGAGTCACTGACCCGCATTCATGGGCCCGCGCGCCAGCGCGTTTTTTGCTATCTGTAAGCGCCATCGCGGCCGCATCGGTTGCTCCTAACCAGCTGGCCGCTTTGCGCGCGAGCTTGCGCGCGCTAGCGCGGCCGCAGGGATGCGCCAGTCAAGGCCGAGCAGTTATCGCACTTTCCGCCGCTTGGGTTTTGCAAACCAAGTTGCGGGTGGCATGGTGGAATGATTGCGCGAGCAGAGGAGCTAACAGAACATGAGTGTCCCAAAATGAACCGCTGCAGCACGTGGCTTGCACCACATAGCTTGCACATCCACAGTGCAATAATGTACTCTCGGATGTTCGCGTTTGCCAAGATTTGCTTCTGCTTTCTTCTTCGGCCAGGGGCCGCGGTGGGAAGGGGCTCCGCGCGGCGGCTAGCGCTTGTGCCGAAGAATGGCGGACAATCGCCGCTCCATTACCATGAGCCCGAGCCCCGAGCCGCCGAGTCCCCGGGCCAAGCAGGTCATGCAGCAGATCAAGACGATCGCTTCCGAGGCCGCCGACTACAGGGACGTGGGCTCCAGGCTCACGGAGATCTCGCGCGCCTTCGGGGAGGAGCTCAGGTTGCTGCGCGCCGATCACGACGCTCTGAGGGCGGATGTGGCTGCCATGCGCGCGAGCCTGGAGATCGCAGGCTTGCTGCCCAGCAGGGACGTGGAGAGCAACGCACAGGGCAGCTGCGGTGAGGGCGTGAAGGCAAAGGCCTCGGCGCCGAGTTCCCCGTGCAGCTCCCCCGCCAGGAGCGGCCGGCGCACGAGAATCGCGCAGGCGGACTGCACGCCAGACGTGCGGCGAAGCACCAGCGTCCACGAGCCGCGAAAGCCTGCGCCGCTGGGCCACTCGGTGTCCTTCCCGGTCTTCCCGCAGCTGTCGGCACGCGGCCCCCGATCCGCGCGCGGCCCCACCACCGAGGGCGCCGCGCCGCAGCTGCGCACCGCCGAGCGCGCGCGGGGGCGGGCCGGCGTGCACACCATCGGCGCAGAGGCCGAGCCCGCTGCCTGCGCCCGGGCGACCAGCCCGCGGGAGGCGGGCCCGGCGAGCGGCACAGGCCGGCCCAGGCTCAAGGCCGAGCCGGCTGCCTGCGCCCGGGCGACCAGCCCGCGGGAGGCGGGCGCTGCCCTCGCCGCCCCGGCGGGCGGCACGGGCCGCCCCAGGCTCAGGGCGGCGGCCGGCAGGGGGGCGGCCGAGCTGCGCGAGTTGGCCCAGGAGGTCCTGGACCCGGCGAAGTCGCCGGAGGAGCACCGCCGTGCCTTGGCCAGCGCGCAGCGCCTCCTCCGCGACGAGGGCGCCGGGGCCCTGGCTACCTGCTCTGGCGGCAGGACGCTGCTCGGGCTGGCCGCCGAGGCAGGGCGCCTTGACCTCGCACGCCTGCTGCTGCAGCATCGCGCAGATCCCAACGAGAGGGACGAGCTGGGCGTCAGCGCGCTGCACCTGGCGGCTCTGGGGGGACATGCGCAGGTCAGTGCGAGCTTGCTCATGGCGCGCGCGGAGGTGGACATCCTCGACCGCTTCGCGCGGACGCCGCTGTTCTTGGCTCCTTCCAAGGACGTGTGTAGGGTGCTGGTTGAGCGGCGCAGTGATCCCGCAGCGGTCAGCAAGCAGGGCGAGACGGCGCTGCACTGCGCGGGCCGCAACGGCTACAGCGAGGCCCTCTCCTGGCTGGAGCAGCGCGCGCCGCGGCCGGCCCGCGACCTGCGTAACCGGGAGGGGCTGACCGCGCGGGAGCTGCTGCTGCGGCGGCCGCCAGACCAACGGCTGCAGCGGCGCAACAGCGACGACGTATGCGGGATCCGCGTGGCGCCAGGAGCGCAGGCGGACCCGTTCGTCGGCCCGCAGTCGCCCAGCGGCGCAGCGGCGTCCGCCGCGCAGGCCGCCCCCTGCCGGGAGGAGAGCGGCCAGGACGCCGAAGGCTCCGCACAGGGGGAGCCGGCCTTCCCGCCTCCCCCGCTGCTGGAGGACCACGGCGGCCCCTCCGCCGACGACGACGAGCCCGGGGAGGGCGCGGGCCTCCCGCGGAGGAGCTCCACTGGCGTGGCCTGCGACAGGGCGGCCGGGTGCATCCGCCCGCGGGGGCACGACGGCCCCTGCGTGGACGGCTCGCTGCGGGAGGACGCCAGCCTCGCGCGGAGGCTGACCGGCCTCGCCTGCCACAGGGCGGCGGGGTGCGTCCGCCCGAGGGGGCACGGGGGCCCCTGCGTCGACGGCTCGCTGCAGGAGCTGCTCGCTGGCGACTAGGAGGTGCCGCGGCGCGCCGGCGCGCGCGGGCCGCGCCCCAGGGGCGAAGGGTGTCCTGGGGGGTCCTTCTTCAGCAGGGGTCGACCGACACGGTGTCTTGGCGATTTCGTTTTTTTTTTTTTTTTTTTTCCTCTCTCTCTTTTTTTTCTCTCTCTTCTGGAGACGACACGAGGGAAAACGACAACAGAACGAACGCGCAGGGCACCGTTTCGGTCGATCCCTGTGCTTCTTCAGCCCGCGCCGTTTCTGTTGACGGCCCCAGGTCCTGTCCTGGGGGCCCGGCACAGCGGCGAAGCACTTCCGGGAGCGTGGGCCTCCTGGATGGGGCCCGAGTAGATGGGGTCGGAGGATCGCGCCGCATCGCCGATGCATCCGCGATGCGGCTCAATGTGGAGCCCGGCGTTCTCCACGCCGACGTCGCCGGTGCACCGGCGACGTCGCTGGTGCATCGCCGGTGTGTCGCCGATGCATTGCCGACGTATCGGCGATGCGGCGGGGTCCTCCGACTCCAGATCTACTCGGGCCCCATCTAGGAGGCGTCCAGGGAGCCCCTCAATCTTGCAGCCGAGGGCGAGGGGGGATGGTCGGCGGCGAGTGAGGGCGGGAAGTGAGAAGGGGCGGGCCCTCTCCTCGTGGGCGGCACAGAGGGGAGTGATCACAAGGGAGGGGTGGATATCATGGCGTGGGCCATGATCTTTCCCCAGATTTCGTGGCGCTTTTTCTTGTTTCATTACGTCCCTGACCCCCCCTTGGGCCGCGCACATGCCGCCGGCCATGATTTGCGTCCCCCCCCTTTTGGACGCCCCCCTCTTGGCCGCCCCCGAAGCTTTTCAGAAGGCTCAGAAGTCCCCCAGCCTTCTGAGAAGTTTCCCAAGCCTGGCCCGAAGACGCCGAAAACTTTTCAGACGGCGCGAGGGCCTCTGAGAAGTCCCGTCGCCTTCTCATACGGATCAGTGAGGAGGAGGAGGAGGAAGAGGAGGAGCAGGAGGAGGAGGAGGAGGAGGAGAGAGGGAGGGAGGGATGGAGTAAGGGAAGGATGGGAAGGAGGAGGAGGAAGAGGAGGAGGAGGAGGAGGAGGAGGAGGAGGAGGAGGAGGACCAGTGGGAACCCTAGAGTCATCTACGATGTTGGAATTCACCCTTCCTCCAAGCTCCCTCTTCATTGGCCCTTACAACGGTTCATTTCCATTGAGGAAACGGACTCGTTGGAAGACAACAGTTTGAAGATCCTGAAGCGTGCCAAAGTATTGTTCTCGGGATTTCAACGCCACGTATCCACCTTACTGCTGCGTCTTGACGATCCAGAATCGTACCAGAACGCCATTTTTGGGACGCCAACACAGCGAATCAACATAACTGCTGCGCCATCGTAATCCTGAATCCTTTCAACGCACCATTTCTAATTTCTAGTACGTTGATCATGGGAATCTGTGAATCTCTTGCATGTTTTTGAAAGGAATGTGCGCGGCGCTAGGGCGAGAGCCACATTTTGAAAAGGAACCGCCCTCAATCCGTGAAGCTCTTGCAAATGATAAAGAACGGATAGGCGCGGCGCTGAGGCGAGAATCACATTTTGAAAACCAACCGCCCTCAATCTGTGAAACTCTTTGTGAATTTAACGAATGTGCGCGGTGCTAAGGCGAGAGTCACATGTTGAAAACGATCCGCCCTCAATCCGTGAAGCTCTTGCGATGTTTTGAAACGGATGTGCGCTGCGCCAAGGCGAGAGCCACATTTTGAAGACGATCCGCCCTCAATCCATGAAGCTCTTGCAAATTCTTAAAACGAATATGCGCTGCGCTACGGCGAGAACCACATTTTGAACACCACCCGCCCTCAATCCGTGAAGCCCTTGTAACTTTTGGGAACGAATGCGCGCGGCGCTCAGGCGAGAGCCACATTTTGAAAACGACCCGCCCTCCGTATGTGAAGCTGTTGTCACTCATAAACGGTAATGCTCAGGCGAAACGCCCGACCCGCCCTAAAAGCTGGCCTCGGGGTGCGGCAGGGAGGAGCTAAATATAAGGAGAAATAATGGAGGAGGAGAAGAAGGACAAGGAGGAGGAGGAGGAGGAGGAGGAAGAGGTTGCGGAGGCGGCGGCGGAGGCGGAGGCGTAGGAGGAGGAGAAAGAGGAGGAGGAGGAGGAGCGGGGGGGAGGAGGATGATGATGAGGAGGAAGATGAGGAGGAGGAGGCGGAGGAGGAGGAGAACAAGGAGGAGGGAAGGAGTAGGAGGAAGAGGAGGAGGAGGAGGAGGAGGAGGAGGAGGAGGAGGAGAAGGACCACTAATACGAATATTATTATCAGTAATAATGATAATAATATTAAGAACCAGGTTAATATTACTAAGACTTATGTTGATAATGCAAATAATAATAATCGTACTACTGATAGTATCAATAATACTAATACAATTAAGAATGCGATTATTGAAACTATTATTTTTACTTTAAATAAACAAAATGCTACTACTACTACTACTATTACTAATACAAGTACGGCTGGTACTACTACTACTACTACTGCTACTACTAATGCTACTAATACGAATAATAAAACAGACTACTACTAATAACAATGATACTAATACTAATACTACCACTAACACTAGTATTCTTAATGCTGCTAATAATAACACTACTCCTACTACTACTACTACTACTACTAATGGTAATACTACTCATATTACTAACAAGACTAGTACTACTGATATTATTGTTATGATTAGTACTACTAATGATGCGAATAAAACTGGTAACACTACTACTACTAATACTAGTGACACGAATACTACTAACAATAGTAGTAATACTGGTAGTAGTACCAGTAATACTACACCACATAATATTATTAATACTACTAATATTATTCCTAATGCTAATCATACTACTAATACGGCTACTACTAATATTAGGAATCCTACTAATACTACTGATATTCGTGTTATCATTATTAGCATTACTCATAATATGATCATTATTCATTATATTAACACCCATGATACTACTACTAACACTATTAATACCAATGTAAATAATAATACTAGTGCTCCTAGGAATGTGCGTAATACTAAAAATGCCATTGATACTACTACTTGATAATAACAATACTGATGGTCATACGAATAAGAATATAATTGCGAATGCTACTACTAAGCATAACAATGATTTTCATATTAAGAATAACCGTAATATCACTAATACAAATAATACGAAAGTATCAACAAAACTAATACTACCAATAATAACAACAATAACACTAGTAATACTCATAATAATAGTATTCATACTACTACTAATCACACTAATACCACTTATGACTATATTTTCCATAATAATAATACGAATACTCATAATACTACTACTACTAATGATAATACTACCATTAACAACAATACTAATACTATTGATACTAATAATATTACTAATATTACTACTACTACTACTACTGATAAGAGGAGGATGATGCTGATGATGATGAGGAGGAGGAGGAGGAGGAGAAGGAGGGGAGGAGGAGGAGGCGGAGGAGGAGGAGTAG